CAGCATCGCCAAGCACGGTGTCAAAGTTCAACTCATCGGCTATCTAGGTAAGAGAGTAGTATGAAAGACGCAATTAATCTTGACTTCGATTCAGCTTCTCATCATCTTTTTTCTATCAGAGTCCGAGTTACATCCTGATATTGTCACCAATTCCCTCATCACCGTTGTAAGCTTGCCTGCAGCACCTAAGTCACTTCAAACCGGTAGTAGACTATTGTTCCTGCTTCTTGGACCCTTGAAGGTTTTATGGCAAGTCTGGAGCTTATATTATGCCCTGGGATATCGTACGAAACCATCGAAATGGATGCTCGTTCAGGTATGTCAGCTTTTTAAGTAGAGATCCATCTTCCCCTTTCACAATCAATAAAGCCCCAGTTGAGGTGAGTAATTCAGCCTTAGTTGATTGTATCTCCTAGAATCCTCCTTCTATTCCAACCCTTGCCATCGCTCAGATCATCTGCTACTTCCGAAATACCCGTCTAGTTATAGACTGGCATAATTTTGGCTACTCCATTCTCGCATTAAAATTAGGGAATAATCATCCCTTGGTAAAAGCTTCTGAAATATATGAGTCCTTCTATTCTCGTTCTGCTGCATTCAATTTCGCGGTAACAGACGTAATGGCACAAAAATTACGGTCTCAATACAATATCAAGACTGAAACCCTTCATGACCGACCTCCTCAACATTTCCAGCCTCTCACCCCGGAAGAACGAATCGCCTTTTTGACAAGGCTACCGGAGACGGCAAAGCATGCCCATGAGATTGTAACAGGATCTCGAAAGTTGATAGTCAGCGCCACTTCTTGGACCGTTGATGAGGACTTTTCCATTCTACTTGATGCTTTGGTAGCTTACTCTACCGAGGTCGATCACTTGCCACAGCTACCAAAAATACTAGCTATCATAACGGGCAAGGGGCCACGGAAGGAACCCTACCTCTCTAAAATCCAGCAGTTAGAGAAGGACGGATGTCTGACGAATGTCTCGGTTTTGACAGCTTGGCTAACCCCTGGAGATTATGCTACCCTCCTAGGTGCTGCGGACCTAGGTATATCCCTACATACATCATCATCCGGTGTGGATCTACCTATGAAAGTTGTAGATATGTTTGGCACTGGTCTTCCGGTGGTTGGCTGGAGTAAGTTTTTGGCTTGGCCAGAGCTGGTAAAAGAAGATATCAATGGAAAGGGATTTGGCAGCGTTGCAGAATTACAGTCACTACTTGGGAGCCTATTTTCCAATCCGGATAGGTTGAAGAGATTAAGAGATGGAGCACTTCAAGAATGCAACCATCGATGGGATGATGAGTGGAACCCAGTAGCAGGCCGCTTATTTCACTTGGTGGACGATCAACCTCCAAAGTGAAGCTGTTAGGTTTTCTAAGACGCGAACGGAAGTGCACCTTAACTCTCAAGGGTCACTACTGTGATCCCGGCTAGAGAATATTCTTCCAGATATATACTGGAACAATCCAATGAAAACCTTAAGTTTCGCTCAATCCCTTGGTCTTTCAGTGTCTGATGAGGTAGCCAGCCGATTATGCGGGCAAGTGAGTGCTTCCCCGCAAATCACACTCCTTGTCTCCGTAAGTAGAATCCGAAGACATGACTGTATACATCGGAACAGTTTGAATGAGAGAGGGGTTACAAAAATGAGTTGTCTCGATATCCCTCACAGAACACTATCATAGACTAGAACCTCCTCTCTATCAAGCCTCTACCAACCAAGATAGAATCGTGATCTTGTACTTTGACGATAGCATGGGAAGGGGAAAGCTTCTACAAATGGAAATAGAAGGACCCTGGGTTTTAGTTACGTTCAATATATGCCAATAGTAAACTGCTGAGGATGTTGGAGATAACTCCGGCCCTTCTTACAACGTCTCTCATGTTATCGATCGAGCACCATGGGTAACATCGCAACTTAAGGCTAATAAGCTAGGTCTCTTCACATGCATGCATTTAAGTCTTCCGACAGTGGTCGATCAAAAGATGTAATCTTTCCACTTTGGGCTCAACTACCTTATTTCTTTTCACATGGTAGGACACCATGGACATCATAGCGAGCGCAACGCTAAGGTTCGAGTTGACACTTATTTTCAATATTCTTTCACATGTGCACCCTAGTTACGACAAACATGCTCATACCTATGCTTCGATAACGACCCATGGTTTACTTGGTCCGATCCTCAGCTCCTCTAGCACAAAACATGCAAACTCAGCAAGCATCGAAAAGTTTAACGTTTGTTGTAACCAATAATTAGGACTCGATAAATCATTCCTGGGGAAGAACGCGTTGCAAAGGCCCTTGGTTGGCTGTAGGTAAAAGCGATATTGCGTCAACTGGGTGAAGGGGGGAGAGGGGGAGGGGGAGAACCAGAAGCTTAGAGCTCGATCGATTGCATGTAGGAAGTATGGAGCACGTAAGCTCATCCAGGGTGCAGCTTCAGATTTGTTGGGAGAACGGTCAACCTCCCTGCGAACCCCACTTGCGGTACTATCAATCATCTCCCAGGGTTGCATGTACATACGAATTACAGTTACGTCCTTTTCGGAATCTCAGAGACAAGCAGAATCACTCGAGGGATTAACTATGACGGAAAAAGAAGAGCTAGGATGTGAAGTGAAGTCGTCATTTCATGGTTATACTACAAACGTGGATTCTATATTCATGAGAGTCGCTAATGATCTCGAGGGTATAATGTGTGAATCCGGAAACATTTCCAACAACACCTTTCAAGTCGAATCAAACAATACATTCTTCCCGTTCCAATCTGGCTCCAAACTCCGACGGTCCCATGGCGTTATGCGTATCTCATACACTGTCCTGTGAAGTCAAGGAAAGGATTGTGTCATCTCATGAAGCCGAACCCATCCGGGCTGAAAATGCCACCATCGATTGACGTCCTATCAAGAGATGTCCGATGGTGACGACGCTGCTTCCGGATTTCCATTTCGGTGTCCATGAGTCGATCCTGCACCCAGGATCTATACTGCTCATCGTGTCTGACTGATTCGCAGTTGAGCAAAGATGTTAGGGTGGCCTTGATTTGCTGATTGATGTCTTGAAGGCGTTCTTTGATGTCCTCTTCTTCGTGAGTGGTACCTATCATTGCCGGTGGCGAGGCATAAGAAGGTAAAATCGAGGTTGGTGGTGATATTGAGGCGTGACGTCGAATTGGCGACCCAACGGGTGACCTTGTTGGGGAATGGACGTCTGGAATTGAGCTAGTCCTGCGTGAATAGACCGAGCCCTGAGATAACTTTTGTCGAAGTTCTTCTTGTTGTGAGGAGAGAAGAACATATTTTTGATATGCTAGGTTCTAGGGAAATGTCAGTTTGTCAAGTTGGAAATGTTTCTGAGAATATCAATATAACTGACCTTCTCACAGTTCTGATTGCGTAAAAGTGCCATTGTTTCAGATGATTGATTGATTTCGTTGATACTGTAGATGTATGTTTGGACGGAGGAGTCCGATGAACGAGAATTGAGCTTCAAATATATTTATCGTAGGTCCGGCTAAACAGTTGTATTCGTAATAAAATAGAATGCTTCTTCAAGCGGGGGATTCGGACACGATATGCTCACGCAGAGGAAGGTGGTCAGACGAGAATAAATGGAGTGATGTCCGGAGGATTGTCGGTTAGAACTAAGGTAAGTTTACAAGTACGGAGTAAGGTAGTCAGTGGGATAAGCCTCCCTTAACAGCCACAATTGAGGTGAAGTCTCAGGTCTGGATTCTGGAGGAAAAACCTGTATTTCTTGGAAGTTAGAAGAACAAAAATACAGGACTTATAGACGTCAGTTACCTGTATATTTGATGTTTATTAGCTTACTACTGCGGAAACTTGGAACTTATAGTCAGTGCGTGTCAGTTTTTTCCCTGGAGAGTAAAAGACGTAAATGATCGAAATACTGGACGGAGGCATTTACGCAAAGTTTACAGCATAGCAATGTTAGGTTGATTTAAAAGGTCGAGACACGTAAATAACTGATCAGCGTTCTAATCAAAATTCCACGTTGAGGGTTCAGTCGTTGATACTTCCGCAGTACCTAGTGCAGGCTTTTGAGTACCTACGATCCTTATTTGTTAGATTGTCTAATTTTCCATGACGATCATACACATACAAAAATGCTGAAACAGCTTTGCCGCTTTGGTACCTTTACATCCTCACTCCTCATAGCTATCCGGAATTTTGGAAGTGTGCGATCATCGAAGAATTCATGCGTCATTCCCAAGAACTTGGTTATCTCCCATTTACGGGAAGTTGAGCCGCTTAAGAAGGAATATGTGGGACTGTAAGAAAAAGACTTTCCTGACCAATTTACTGTGACTCGGCAGACAATAAAACTACGTAATAACAGTATGGATAGGACGTTGCGGACAAAAACGTTGCGAGTCTTGTGTACCGAAAGACATACTGCACACCTCAGTACGGTACCTTATGACGTATAATATTCTACTTTCAACTATGACGTCTCCAGTTTCAGTTGAAAGAATTCATTATTGTGCAAATAGAATAAATGGATTGTTCATTTGTGTCAAAGTTTAAAGTTGGAACAACTTGAAACCCCGTAAACAGATCCCACTGAGTATAGATAATGTACAGTACTTTTTTGTGCTCAAAGAAGCAACTGCAGTGAGTAATGCAGGGGATACCCCTTAGGTTGAATCTCCAGACTACAAAAGTCCACAATCATTTAAGCTCCCAAGCATAGGGACTAAGTTACTCACAAACAATATAGAAATTCCGTTAAATTTCCTAGCATCTGCATCCATACTGTACAGTTCCACGTGAGTACTTGCAGTACCGTAGTGATACAGTAGTGTAATTCTATTATTATCCAGCCGGGCCCTGCGTGACTGTGAAAATGCTAATCGGGACTATTTCGGGACCCTTATTGGTTAGAAATCGACACCAACATCCTGGATTCTCAGTCTGTCAACATTTTAATTGTAATATATTGAATAAATTGCGTCACACCTTCCAACAAACAGGGCGCATGGTTTAGTGGTATAATACCCCCTTAGCACCTATTCGAATGGGGGTGGTCCTGGGTTCGATTCCCAGTGCGTCCAATTTTTACTTTTTTTCTAAATTCTAAAATTTAGAAATATTTTACTTTTGTAGTTTTATGTACTAATAGTATGATGAATGTCGATTCATTGGTAGATATCTTAGTTATGTTTTATAAATCAGCTTGATTCATAGCTTTTATCGGGAAAAAAAAAAAAGTTTTTGGAGTATAAGTCCTCTGGAGTATTTTCTATTCTAAACCCTAAAATTTTTTAAAACGCCAATGATGAATTTGTAAAATTAGAGATGTCATATCATAGCTCAAATCCCTAGTACCAACCTATCTTGAAAAAAAGCTACTTTAAAAAGGAGGCAACCAAAACGGATAACCACCATTCTTAAGTCTAAAGACGCTGAGTAAAAAGCTGTATACGCAGAATAGGACACCTCCCCAAATGAATACCGCTGCTTGTTGACTTTTTGGATCGGCCATTCGTGGTACTTTCAATGCGAGAGAAATTGTAGCGAAAGAAAGGATACCGTCTGAAATATGTTAATGCTATGATAGCCTTCGTTATGATGCATCAAGACTTACACAATGCAGCAACAATTTGAGTCTCCATTCCAAATTGATTTTGGAAACCACCTGCAAAATAGCTAATTCCACCTTTTCCGTCACCAGAGACATAAGGTACCTTTCTGATATGATTGAACATGTGTCCACTGGTAAATAGAAGGATACCGATCAAACTGAGAGCGGCCCAGACGTTTCGATTTTGAACAAGAGGCATAACATAAGGTGCTGCCACGGTTGCAAAGGTGATGAGACCTAGAACTGCAGTTGTCACAGATATGATACGAATATAATTGATTGGGCGGACGACTGGGGGTTTGGGACCGGTGGGTAATTGACGTGAGATCCAGGAATGAATCGTGTCCGCATTATGGTTGCTGTACATCATTGTTAACATATTGAATGCTTGAAAGAATTCGAATTTGAATTTACCCCGTTGTAAAGTCAAATCTCGCGGGCTGTATGTCCACCTTTGCGTTAGGTCCAGTTGTAGGGTGGAAGAAGAGTAGAACAGGAGCTGTTTGGAGCATCATCTAGACATGTTTAACAATTGTACATATCGTAGAATATGAGGAAGTACATACAGACTGGAAAGTAGCTTTTCCATCTACGAAGTCCAATGTACCGAATAATAGTCTGGATTCCCCAGCTTTATCGCCTTTATTCCAACTTTTAGCTAGTAATTCCCATTCTGGTTGAAACTCTCTGCACAATTGACACCCAAAACGTGCTTCTAAAGCAGTTAGAAGGATAGCGACTCCATAATCCCTTGGTGCGGAGGTTAACTTGTTGTATAGTTGATCATCAAGCTTAAGCGGCGTTGAGGTTAGCGATTTGGTATGGAAATCCTTAAACCGGTCGCTGGTGGATTTCTTAGCTGCAAGCGCAGACAGAGGGAGAAGAAGAAGACTGAGCGATTTTAGCAGTCTCATATTGAATTGATCTGTTGAAGACTGTAACTCTTAGATAGATAGGATCCCGTTTAACATTTGTTCTTGAATGCTCTCTGTCCTCTTTGATGGAACTGACGCTAAGCCATTATGGGTGTCGCTCCGCCAAGATATTGAACATTGTTTACATCCATTCCCGCGCGTCCCACTATCACCTCCGAGCTTCCAATACACCTCGATTCTACCACACAACAGTTGAAAAAGTATAGCATGGCATCAAAATTGATCAATCGAGTCTCGCCTGAGATCTCTGCTGTAAGTCTCATGCGTTTACATAACATTCAAATCGAGTATAAATACTCATCAACAACCTCTACAGTTTCAACTCGCCCTTCAGACCACGAAGTATGAATTAAATTACGAGCGCAGCGCTCGTGCTGTTGAGTGCGTCGCGAAAGATGAAGATATCAGGAAGTTACGGTTGCAACTACTTCTATTAGAGGACGAGAATGACGAATTAAATGATCAGTTGGAAAGGGAACAAAAGCGTGGCGATGAGTTAGAACATAGTGTCAATGATGCTTGGGCACAGCTGGAAGAATCAGAGACAGAGGTTCAGCGTGTATCCAATGAGTTGCGCATGAAGGTTAGAGAATTGGATACCGTAAAGGTAACGAATCCGGTCTTTCAGCAAGGAGTCACGCTAACGGCGAGATTAGGCCGAATTAACAGCAATGGAGAGCATGAGTAGCGACTCAACGAAACTTCTCACTGAGAAACTAGCTTTAGCTCGCGAACTCTCAACTCTGAAGCCTGAATTAGAACATTTGAGGACTCAGGTAACGTCCAATCAAGGTTTACTCTCGGAAAAATTATCCCTCCAACGTCAGTTGAATACCATTCAAGTGGAACTTGAAAATGAAAAACGCGCCGTTCAAAAAGCCCTAGCGAAAGAAGGCAAGAAGGGAGAACAAGACAAGGAACTCAGGTCTCAGATAGAAGACCTCAAAAATGAGTTGAAGATTTCGAAACGCGAGCAAGATCAGACATCAAAGGTACTAAATAAAGCTGAATCCGCGCTAGAATTTCAAAAGCAAGAATGCGAGAAAATCCAAAAGTCACTTGTAAAAGCGCACTCTGACCTAGAGGACGCGAAGAGCTCGGCTCAGCGATCGAGCAATGAAGCTGACAGTGAGCAAAAAGAGAAAGTCGAAGAACTTCGAAGACAACTGAGCAAAGAAAAGAAGGATCGTGAGAGAGCCGAAAGAGCAGTGCAAAAGGAACAAGCGTCTGCTGAAGCACAGAAGTCACTTTTGGATGACAAACTCAATCAGTTTCGGACTAAGCTAAAGTCTACCAAAGAGAAGCTCAAAGAAACCGAAGCTCAATTAGAGGCTGCTCAAGCATCTGCTCCCGCTAGACATTCATCAGTCCCCGTCCTTACCGAAAAGCCAACTAAGAATCCTCGCAAACGTACCGCAGCGTCTGTCGACCCAGAAGCCTCTACTCTAGGCACACCTGGGGATATGCCTACAAAACGCAATAAACGCGGCTCCTCCGCATTACCAGGTGATAAATCTACCTTCTCTATCACTCCTTTCCTCAATCGGACCGCGAGCGTCGCCATCGACGGTCTCTCTGATGACGATGAGGTCAAACCCGACGCTGACAAACCTATCAAATCAACTGAACTTGCTATTCCCGATAAATCGCCTTCTGCTAAACCCAAGAAAGCTACAAGAAAAGCAACCGCTCCAAAATCAAAGCCTCTCGGATCATCTGAGATCAAAGCTAATTCCAAAGCTCGCAAGAAGCCTGCGGTTCCCACACTCGCAATGGTTACGGAGGACGCAGAAGAATTTACTGAAGCCGAAAAGGTTCCCCCTGAGACAGATGGACCTAATGAAGCGGAGAAAGAAAACAACATAAAACCAAAACTGAAGGCTTCTTCACAACCAAAGAAGGCGCCCCGGAAGTCCCTTCTTTCATTTGCTGATTTTACGGCCGAACCAGAACCAGAAAAGAAAAAGAAACGCAAGAATCTTGGTGGTGGAAAGACGCTGTTCGATGTTGAAGATGAATCCGGCCCAACAAAGCCAATGCCTGGTAAGGGATTGTTCGGAGCTAGGGCTTTCGCAAAAGGTTTAGGGGGTGGTTTAGGAGGCCTAGGTGGTTCGAAGAAGGGGCTGGGCAAAGGGTTGATCAAAGGGGGTTTCTTGATGACCGATGACGGGTTTCAATTTTCACCCTTAAAGAAGGATAAGAGGGCTGCGTCTGTGACAATAGGAGACTAAAAATCCTCAGAATACGATTTCCGGGTATTGCGAGTTTCTAATATTGACATTGTATACTATACAAGCATTACTGTCTGGTTACATTAGGTACCAGAAAGCTAAATACACCAGGCTACTTCTTCAAATAATGATTATATGATGATACACCCTTATTCCTTCCACACTTCCTCTCGTATTGGTGTCTCCTTTCTCCTAAGACCGACAAAGTAAGCTTCTTTGGACTCCTGGATGACGATTAGAAGATGGCCAAGTCATTACCAAAGAGTAACATACACTCCTTGACGATTCCGGCTTTTCTCGGTGTACTTTTTCGAAGAGACGTCTAAGTCTTGTCTCTAAAATTTTATCTTCAGCGCCTTGATAGAATTTACAAAGAAAATGTCCGCCTGTGCGGAGGGTATCAAAACTGAATGATAATGCAGCGTCGCAAAGATCCTATCAAACAAATTAACACCCAGAGTATGAATAGGAAAGTGATCTGCTCTTCAAACATACCATACTGCCAGCGTGGTCTCTGAATGCCATGCCAGAAGTGTTCATCATCCTAAAATAGGGGTTACTAATGCTTGCGATTCCGAATCCGGTAGTTTGGTCCCAGGGGGCGGACATGTCACTCAATACTACATCGACAACCCTACCAGCTGCCTTATCACGTTCTTTGAGCGTCGACTTTTTCTCATTTCCTTCTTCCCCTCTAGCATTTGAAGATTTAGTGTCACTCGAATGACATAGATCCACTCGCCTTTCCATCTCCAAATATCCTTGCGATTGCTTATCTAGCTCTTCCATTTCCAAAAAGTGCGTGGCATCATCCCCTTCATTATCATAGAACGTAGGTCTCTGTCGCGGGCGTCCACGGTTGGGATCTTGCACGTAGGATCGCACCTCTGCTTGGATTTCAGGAGAGAGGAAGTTCCCTTGAATTGTGGAAGCGCCTTTTGGGGGTTGTGCGGGGATGACATCGATACCGACTACCCGTCCGCCGGGCGAGGTCCGATTCACAGCGACCTAGGAATGTAAGATGGAATTTGAGGCCGACGAATCAAGGTATTACCTGTGACCAGGAACCTGGAGCATATCCCTTTTCAAAGTTAATCCTATGGTCCAGAGGGTACAAAGTAGATATTACCAGATCGACAACAGTATCTCCTTTCTTAAATAGCTTGTACTTTTCATTCATCTATAGATCGTTAGAAGGAGTTCCAATTGCGGGAATGATATCAATCAACCTCAAGTAGCTTGAAAGCAGCTCGGCTTTTGAGACCCTGAACCTTTGCTTCTTTGGCAAAATGATCTCGGCCCTG